TCTAAGCTCTTAACCACTGTGCCAGCAGGGTTCCTGTTGAGTTGTAGGATATGTATGTGTGTACGTATACACACATATTTTACATATTTTGGATATTAGACCCTTATTAGATAAATAATTCCCAAAAAAATTTTTTCAATCTTTAGGTTGTCTCTTTACTTTGTTGATAAAGTTCTTTGATGAACAAAAGTATTTAATTTTTGTAAGGTCCCAGTTATCTACTTTGTCTTGCTGCTTGTGCTTTTGTTGTCATATCTAATAATCCATTGTTAAGTACTAGGTCAGTTAGCCACACCCCTGCATTTTCTAAGGATTTTATGGTGTTAGTTTGCACATTTAGGTCTTTAATCCATTTTGAATTGGTTTTTGTATATGGTGTGAGGCATAGATCCTGTCTCATTCTTCTGCATGTGGAAATCCAATTTGGCCAGCACTGTTTATTGAAGAGACTCTTTCTTCATTGAATGGATTTAGCACCCTTGTTCAAAATCACTTGAGCATAGATGTTTGGATTTATTTCTGTACTATCAATTCTATTCCATTGGTCTACATGTCTGTTATTATACCAGTATTAAGTTGTTTTGATTACTCTAGCTTTATAGTACGTTTTGAAGTTAGGAAGTGTGATTCATCCTACTTTATTCTTTTTCAAGATTCATTTGTCTATTCGAGGTTCTTTGCCTTTCCATATAAATTGGAGGATTGACTTTTCCACTTCTACAAAGAAGGCTGTTGGAATTTTGATGGGGATTGTATTGAATTTCTAGGTTGCTTTGTGTAATATTGACATCTTAACTATGTTGAGCCTTCCAAACCATGAACATGAGTGTCCTTCCTTTTATTTAGGTCTTCTCTAGTTTCTTTTAGTAATGCTTTATAGTTTCCTGTGCACAAATCTTTCATCTTTTTGTTTAAATTTATTCCTAGGTACTTTATTCTTTTGGATGCTATTGCAAATCACATAGCATTCTTTTTTTTTTCCCACATAGCATTCTTGATATGACAGAATTATAGTAATGGAGTAGAGGTTGCCAAAGTTTAGGTTTGGGACAGGTGTGAGTATTAAGGGATAACACAAGGGAGTTTTTTTTGTGATTCTGTACTCTGCTTGTGGTAATGGTTACATGATTCTATATCTGTGATTAAAATCTCAAGAACTATACCCCAAATAGGAAACCTGGTGGCGCAGTGGTTAAGCACTTGGCTACTATCCAAAAGGTTGGCGGTTCAAACCCACCAGCCACTTTGTGGGAGAAAGATGTAGCAGTCTACTCTCATAGATTTAAGTGTTGGAAACCCTGTGGTGCAGTTCTACTCCATCCTATAGGGTCACTATGAGTCAAAATCGACTTGTCGGCAGTGGGTTATACACCAATATATAAAGTACACATAACAACTGGTGAAATTCAAATAAGCTCTGTACCTGAGTTGATAGTATTATACCAATATCAGTTTCCTGGTTTTCACAACATTTACTACCATTGGTGGAAGCTGTATGAAGAGGACTTGGGAATTGTTGCAAATTATTGTGAGTCTTACTTTTAAAAAGATTATAATAAAAACAACAATAAAGTACCATGAGTTGTCAAGGATCTGGAACAAGTGGAACTCTCATACACTGCTGGTGGAAGTATGAATTGGAATAATCACTTGGAAGAAGTATTTGTTCAGCTTTAAACAGTGTTATATGCCTTATGATCCAGCAATTTCATTCTTAGGTATAGACCTAACAAAAATACTTATGTGTTTTTTCCAAAAGACATGTACAAGAAAGTTTATAACCACACTATATAAATAACAATTCAAATGTTAATCATGCTTTTTTGAGTGTGTACTTTAATGCTCAGTATTAAGAAAATCTAAAATTTATCCTGATTAGTTTATCTCAATCTTGATTTACATAGTCCGTATTGAATAATATTAAAGGTTAAATAATGGTAAAACAATTCTTAATACCAGAATACCAGTTTGGTCACTTTATTTTCCTTTTGGGGGGAAATTAAACAGTTTTATTTCATATTTGTATGCTTTTAAGAACCAAAGTATGTCATTTACTACATCTATACCTTGTAAAAAGGAGCCCTGGTGGTACAATGGTTAAGCACTCAGCTGCTAACTGAAAGGTCAGTGGTTCGAAGCCACCTGCTCCCATGAAGATTACAGCCTGGGAAACCTTATGGGGCACTTCTAGTCCATCACATATGGTCATTATGAATCGAAATCAACTTGGTGGCAGACATCCACAATGTACCTTGTAAATAACTATTATTGTAAATTACACTCCATTACAATTGTTTGTATTTCTGTTGTGTTGTAGTTGGTGGTTTCCATTAGTGCAGTGACCAAATATTTTTTCATGTTTCTCTTCACAGTCTAGCTCAGTACTTGGGATGCTTTAGCAGTTTGATAAACATGCTTATTAAATGCATTTAACTTTTCATTATTGGAAAGATAAGATACCAAAGTTTTGAAGTTTTCTAAAATGTGTCTTTTTTTTAGCCTACATAGTTTATACCATTCAATATACTTGATCATTTTGTATGATGCATGCCATCTTTAGGTTATGTGGAATAGATTTAAATAATTGTAGTAATTTTGGAGCAGGATTTGCCCATAAACTTGTAAATGTCGCCAGTAATTTAAAGAAACCATAGTTTGTTCTCTAAAATGAGTATGTATTATAGGGAAGTATAAAGAAGAAATAATTATTGCAATTTTACTGATCAGATATAACCACTGTTAGCATAGTGTGTGTGTATGTTTTGTTTTTAATGCAGTTGAAGTTACACTTAGTAAAGTTCTATTTCCTGCTTTTTTCACCTAACATAATATCGTGGATATTTTCCCTTTTAATTAAAATTTTCTTATAAGCTTTTTTAATGCTGATGTAATCCATTGAATAACCACAGTGTAATTTAGTCCCATTTTGTACATCATTATTTTCAGTCGTATGCTATTATTAGTAAGTGTGATGGTTATATTTTCTTGCAAATTTGTTCATAGTTCTGATAATTTCTATATATTCTTAGACGTGTAGTTGTAGCTACGAGTTGATATAAAATGAATTTAGTCCCTCTTCATTTTGTACCAAGGTGTTTCTTTAGTGTATAATATGATGGGTATACTAAATTGTAAACTCTTTCCCATTATTTAAATTTAGTGCTTCTTCACAGTCTAGTTTATAATGCTGTATATTTCATGGATATGGTATTTTAGCTATTAGTTTTCTGTCATGAAACTATACAAAATAAGGCTTGATGTAAAAGCAAGTTTATGGTGATTGTTGGGAGCTTATTGTATTCCAGGAGTTTTTTCACTCCAGTAATATAAATTGCCAACAACAAACAAATTATTAAATCAATTAATGTTTAGTCATTCAAACTAAATATTATGCAGCTACCAAGCATGATGTTTACCGAGAAATTTGGGGAAATGCTCATAATATAAACTGTATATACAAATACTGTCTTGACTGTGTAAAACCAAAAATGTATATGCTTAGAAAAAAGAATCCTATAAGGAAACAACCACGATTTGAATGGAGGCTGTTTCTGAGGAGTGGAATTAACTTTTTTTCTTTAGACTTGTTTATATTTTCAAAAAAAGTTATAATAATTTTCATATTAAGTTTTTATTTATATCAAAGTAATATGTGCACATATTTAAAAACACAGTAGTCTTACAAGGCCTAAAATAAATACCAGTCCCCTGACCAATTCTACCCATGATTTCTGCTTTCTGGAGGTAACCAATTTCAACTCTTGGCAATCTGTCTGGCACAGGCAATTCCTGAATTACAAGAGAGTTCTGTTCCTAAGTCTGTCTTTAAGTCTAATTTGTACCTAAGTCAGAACAATTATAGTTCGTATCTAACATCAGTCAGTCAAATGTTTGTTGTAGTATATGGTATATAGTGTACCTTTCTATGCATAAAAAACATTAAAGAAATACTTCCAGATTCACTAAAACATCTTTAACTTAACACACTAATAATAATAATGTTTTGATACACATTGCAAAGTAGTGCCCGTTTGTTATTATTGTATGTACTTTGAATTTTTAATGTAATAGGCTTTTTGGGGGTTGGTTTGTAACTGCAGGTTGTATGTAAGTCAGATGTTAGTAACCTGGGGACTGCCAGTATTTACTTGCATGTATCCTTTGTAAAATGTAGGGTAGGAATTTACCCACATACACTCACAAGCTTTTTTCTCGCTTATTTTCCCAGTATGTTTTTTCATAATATTTGCCTAAAATCAATTTTAATGTTTGCTGTATTGTGACTATGTAAATATTCACAGTTAACGCCATTTAAAATGCTATGATTATTTTTCCTTTTTTTCGTAACCATTTAATTTTGGTGCTTTGTTTTTACCATTTGCTTAATTTTCTATGTACTCATCACTAATTCATTGCCAAATTCTCCTGCAGAAATATAAATCCTTCCTTATGTTCCAACACATCAGATAATCTCAGTTTTATTTCTTTTCTTGGACACATCTTTCTAGAGTGCTCTGTATTCTTGCTCCTATTCGTATTTAACATCTCTCCTTACATTCATTATATTATTATAACTGTTTGCGTATCAGCCACCCCTAACTACTACACTCAGCTCCTTTCATACTTTCCTTCATTGTAATGTACTTAGTACTCGTAACAGTACCTATCACAATGTGGACTTATGGTGATATATAAATTTTCTAAATTTACAAATAAAACCTTAAATATATTGTAAACATATGGTTTCTGTGTTCATCTTTATTCCTAAATCAGACTGTTTCATTTTCTAGCAATACAGTTCTTCCTAGGAATGTAAATCATAAACCTGACTACTTAGATATATCTTTTTTTTTGTTTTCACTAAATAAGTAATGAATTTTCTGAACTCCAGATTGTTCAAAAGATTGCCTTAGGGTCAGAAATTCATATTATAATTAAAATGTGTGAAGCACTCCATTACTTCTATTATTAAAGCATTTATTCTATATTTTCCTTTTCAGAGGGCGGTTATTTATCATTTCCACCAAAGCAGGATCTCTTGGGATTAATTTGGTAGCTGCTAATCGCGTGATTATATTTGATGCCTCTTGGAATCCATCTTATGACATCCAGAGTATATTCAGAGTTTATCGCTTTGGACAAACTAAACCTGTGTATGTATATAGGTTCTTAGCTCAGGTAGGTTCGTAATTTATATTGTCTTTTTTGTATTGAAAAGTTGGGTTGAACTGACATTTTAGGGGTTTAGACATGTGTATTACAGAGAGGCCAAGAAGGTTAAAAACATCATTCTATACGTAAGGGAGCAGAAGTTAAGTTTGGTCTCTCTTATGATTTTCTGTTTTGCAGTTGGTCCATTTCCATAACATCAGATTTTTTAGATTGAGATGATTTTGCATGGATAAACAGACTAGCATTCTTGCTTGTTCAGGAAAGTTAAACATTTATAGTTCATTTACTTAGCATACATAGAAAAGTAAATAACTAACTCTAAGTTGCTTATATATGAAAAGGTCAACTGATCATTATTTTTAATGGCCACTGGGTATTAAAGAATGTAGGTTAATAGGAAGAGAAGTTAACCTGTTGTAACAACACAGAATTATTACAAAGAATGATATTTTCTACTTCCTAGACAAGAATATTAAAGTCATTTTCCTTTAAATATAAACTTGGGTATTAAAAACCAGACAGAAACTCAAGTTTAAGAAAAATAAGTGAAATCAAAGAAATGGATGCAGTGCAAGGTAATATAAGTTTATAGAATCAAGTTGCCCTTTCAACTGGTACATCTGCTTTGGTAGTAGGTACTACTCTCTCCACCTTCCTCCCTTGCTTGTTTAATCTCTTTTATATCTCAAAAGAGATTAACTCAATATATGCCCTACACTAATCCTGCCTCATTAACATAACAAAGACAACCCATTCCCAAATGGGATTATAACCACAGGCATAGAGGTTAAGGATTTACAACACATATTTTTGGGTGGACATAATTCAGTCCATAACACTCTAGTATCTGCCTGCTATCCCACTTCCACTGAGCACAGGAATATATAAAGCAACGCATTAATGCATTTTGGTCAGATAACGTAGAATGGTTATCAGTAGTATGATTTTCCTAATTTGTCCTGGTAAACTATGAACAGATGAAATCTTTCATGAATTAGGCAACATTGTTAATAAAATTTGCTTTATGACAATATATTACTATGAAGTGTTACCATTTCACATTAACCAATAACTCCATGATTAAGTTTCTCCATGATTAAGTTTCATGCTTACAAAATTGTATTTATTTGTATATTGTTACTTCTTTTTACAAAGGGAACCATGGAAGATAAGATTTATGATCGGCAAGTAACTAAGCAGTCACTGTCTTTTCGAGTTGTTGATCAGCAGCAGGTTGAGCGTCATTTTACCATGAATGAGCTTACTGAACTTTATACCTTTGAGCCAGATTTATTAGATGACCCTAATTCAGAAAAGAAGAAGAAGAGGGATACTCCTATGCTGCCAAAGGTAAACATCTTTAGATTATTAGATTTAAAAAAAAACATATGGACCAGGGAAATTTTGCTACTAGTATGAAAGTTAATCTTCTGACTAATAATATATTTCAGGATTTTTCAAAGAGAATAAAATTGTATGTAACAAATTTTGTCTGGATAATTATAAGTGAGAGGATGCTTGATTAATTCTCCATGTGACACCACGAAGAAATAGTGTAATCTGAAATATATATTCTATGCCAAATAAAAAGTTCAGCCTTCCAACAAAAGGTCTCTGAGTCGAAACCTTAAAGTTGTGTGGTTCCTTTTTAGTAAACCTCCAGTAAAGGGCATACATTATTTTAATAACTATATGAAATTAAACTGTCTTTTCCTTAGCATTCTCTGCTGTCATACAGCAATTAAGAATCAGCAAAGAAAACCATATCTCTTGATATTTTTCACCATCCTAAAGCAAGTAAGACTTTCACACTTAGAAAAGAACCCTTAGAGGTAATCTAGTCAAGCCCTCTCGTTTATGGATGAGGAAACTTGGCTCAGAGACATTAGGTGACTTGTCCACAGTCTTCAGCTAGTAAGTGGCAGAGCCAGGACTACTATCTACATCTATCTTCTGGCCCATTATTCTTGGGTAAGAAAATGTTATTTAATATTAATGTAGCAAGTAAAGACTCCTCCAGGTAAAATGGTGACTGTGTATTTATTCTAGTTATCTAAAAAATAGGCCAATTTTCTTTTTTGAAATTCTTATGGGAGTTGCCTTTCTTGATGTCTTGGTTTCAAATTCAAGTACTTAGTTTCAAATTCAAGCAGCTACCAGGATACGATGTCAGTATAGCAAAGTAAGCAGTAAGCACTTTAGTCACTTGTAAAAAACACAAAAAGTAATTTAGTTCTTCATATGGTTGGATGCATTTAATTAAAGCAGAAGGTAATGGGAATAAATGTTTTTTCTCATACTAATATAAATCAGTGATTTCCCCAGTTTCATTTTTAATGTAGGTATCAATTAAAATAATACGTACATTAAGCATTTTGAAAATATTTTTTAAAAAGTCCTTTGTGTATAAACAAATATTTTTTCTGATCAGTGAACTTTTCTTCCATTTAAAGTTCACTGATAATAGCATTGAGAAAAGACTTTATTTTGTGACAACCTCCATTAAATCCTTTGGAATAATGCCTTAGGGACACATAGGGGTTTAAAATCTACCACTTTTTAATGAGTTTCAGAACACTTTTTAAAAGATCATTTTATTTCTATATTAAATTAATCATTATTTAGCTTTATATATAAAACAGAATGTGGTTAAGATTCTTGAGTAGTCTTCTAACAATTTTCTGTGAACATACAGATTTGTTTATATATCTTTGAAAGCATACAGACACAAATGATATCATACCATACATAATCTCTGCAGCTGGCTTTTTTCATCCAGACGTATTTTGAACTTCTTTCTATATTGGTGCATAAACCTGCACCTTTTTTTTTTTTAAACAAGTGCATTGTGTTCACTCACCTGTTTTTTTTTTAAGTCTTGAATCTCCAACATCTTTCATACCAGTTACTTAATTTTATATGGCAAGAAGTATTCCTCTAAGGATTTACACGTTTGCACACATGTTTATAATTTTAAAGATGCTGGACTTTCCCTTTTCAATTTGAGAATGATTTTATATCTGTCTAATTGGCACCTTTCTAAAAATTATACTTAACTTTAAATTTCAACTTTTATCAGAAATAGCCCATGATTAGTAACATTTCTGACAGGAAGCACACCTTCCAGTTAGAAAACGGAAATTGCCTTGAATTTATTATTTGGTAAATTTCTGGTTGTAGGAAATCTGTTTAATTTGATAAACATTTATTGTTTATTTGCTGACTTTGAGATGTACTATGAGGGGAGACGAGAAAGAATAAGACATTGTACCTTAAAGAAGATTTAAAAAATACAGTAGGGAAGAAATGCTATGTAATTATTATAGCGTGTCTGGAAGGAAACCATCTGTTTTATAATTTGGAGATCTGAGTCATCAAAGGTATTGTGCTTATTTATTTATAGTCTTTACTTACTGCTATATTGCTTTTGGTACTATACCTCTTCGCCCAAGAGCGAAGAGAAAAAGCAATATTAAATGGTATATTAACACAAAGTGTTAAACTCTCGCATAGCTCTTTAAAAAAGGAAAATAATAGTTAACTTATTAATTTCCTGCTGGGTTTCATACTCTGTGCTCAACAAATGAAAAGCAGATAATGCTGTGTTCATTTTGGAGAAAAGGAAATAGAAGCTCAGAGAGTTATGTAATTTACCCAAGTTTACACACCTAATTAGAGCTGAAGCTGTCCTTCAAACCAAGCCTGCCCAACTCCAAAGTGCGTACTTTTTTTTTCTATTTTTAACATTTTATTGGGTTTTAGGTGAAAATTTACGGAGCAAATTAATTTCCCATTTAACAAATTGTACACAAAGTGTTCCATAACATTGATTGCAGTCCCCACACTGTGTCAACACTCTCTGCATTTCCAACCTGGGTTCCCCGTTTCCTTCCATCTGGTTTTCCTAACCCTTCCTACTGTCACATCTTTACTTTTGGGCAAACGTTACCCTTCTGGTCTCGTATAATTGTTTGTTCTACAGAGCACATTCTTTTTGGGTGTTATTGTTTATTTTATATGCTGTCTGTTGCTTGGCTGAAAGGTAATTTCCGAGAATGGCTGCAGTTCCAAGTCAAAGGGGTGACTTAGGGCCATAATCTCGGGGATTCCTCTAGTCTCTATCAGGCCAGTGAGTCTAGTCTGTTTTTATGAATTTCATTTTTTTTTGTACTTTAGGTGAAAATTTACAGCTCAAATAAGTTTCTCATACAAAAATTTATACACACATTCTTATGTGACCCTAGTTGCTATCCCTGTAATGTGACAGCACACTCCCCCTTTATATCCTGGATTTCCTGTGTCCATTCAACCAGTTCCTGTCCCTTTATTCCTTCTCATTTCGCCTCTGGATAGGAGGTGCCCACTTAGTCTTGTGTATCTACTTGAGCTAAGTAGCACACTCTTCATGAGTATCATTTTATGTCTTATAGTCCATTCTGATCTTTGTCTGAAGAGGTGGCTTCGGAAATGGTATTCGTTCTGGGTTAACAGAGAGTCTGGGGGCTGTGTCTTCTGGGGTTCCTCTAGTCTCAGTCAGACCATTAAGTCTGATCTTTTTACATGAATTTGAGTTCTGCACCCCACTTTTCTTCTACTCCGTCAGGGACTCTCTGTTGTGTTCCTTGTCAGGGCAGTCATTGGTGGTAGCCGAGCACCATCTAGTTCTTCTGGTCTCAGGATGATGGAGTCTCTGGTTTATGTGCCCCTTTTGTCTCTTGGGCTACTATTTTCCTTGTGTCTTTGGTGTTCTTCATTCTCCTTTGCTCCAGGTGGGCTGGGACCAATTGATGCTTCTGAAATGGCCACTTGCAAGCTTTTAAAACCCCAGACACCACTCACCAAAGTGGGATGCAGAGTATTTTCTTAATAAACTCTGATGGCAGTTGACCTCGATGCCCCCCAAAACCATGGTCCCCAGACCCTCACCCCTGCTACTCTGTCCCTCGAAGTGTTTGGTTGTGAGGAAACTTCTTAGCTTTTGGTTTAGTCCAGTTGTGCTGACTTCCCCTGTAGTGTGTGTTGTCCTTCCTTCACCGAAGTTGATACTTGTCTACTATCTAGTTAGTGATTTCTCCTCCTCCTCTCTCCCCACCCTCGTAACCATCAAAGAATGTTTTCTTCTGTGTATAAATGTTTCTTGAGTTCTTAAAATAGTGGTTTTGTACAATATTTGTCCTTTTGCAACTGACTAATTTCACTCAGTATAATGCCTTCCAGATTAATCCATGTTATGAGATGTTTCATGGATTTATCATTGGATAGTATTGCATTGTGTAAATATACCATAATTTGTTTATCCATTCATCCATTGATGAGCACCTGGGTTGTTTCCATCTTTTTGCTATTGTGAACAGTGCTGCAGTGAACATGGGTATGGATATATCTATTCGTGTGATGGCTCTTATTTCTCTAGGATATATTCCAAGGAGTGGGATTTCTGGATCGTATGATATTTCTATTTCTAGCTTTTTAAGGAAGCACCAAATCTATTTCCAAAGTGGTTGTACCATTTTATATTCCTACCAACAGTGTATAAGATAAGTGTTCCAGTCTCTCTACAACCTCTCCAACATTTATTATTTTGTGTTTTTGGATTAATGCTAGCCTTGTTGGGGTGAGATGGTATCTCATTGTAGTTTTGATTTGCGTTTCTCCAGTGGTTAATGATCGTGAGCATTTCCTCATGTACCTGTTAGCTGCCTGAATGTCTTCTTTGGTCAAATGCCTGTTCATATCCTTTGCCCATTTTTTAATCGGGTTATTTGTCTTTGTGTTGTTGAAGTTTTGCAGTATCTTGTAGATTTTAGAGGTTACACCCTGACTGGATATGTTGTAGCCAAAAATTTTTTCCCAGTCTGTAGGTTGACTTTATACTCTTTTGGTGAAGACTTTTGATGAGCGTGTTTGATTTTTAGGAGCTCCCGCTTATCTAGTTTCTCTTCTGGTGTTTGTGCATTGTTAGTTAACATTTTACATTCTGTTTATACCATGTGTTAGGGCTCCTTGCATTGTCTCTATTTTTTCTTCCATGGTCTTTATCGTTTTCAATTTTATATTTAGGTCTTTGATCCATTTGGAGTTAATTTTTTTGCATTGTATGAGGTATGAGTCTTGTTTCATTTTTTTGCAGATGGATATCCAGTTATGCCAGCACCATTTGTTAAAGAGACTGTCTTTTCCCCTATTTAATGCACTTCAGGCCTTTTTCAAATAGCTGCTCATAGGTGGATGAATTTACATCTGGATTCTCAATTCTGTTCCATTGGTCTATGTATCCATTATTGTACCACTACCAGGCTGTTTTAACTACCGTGACAATATGTGATTTTTGTTAGGTGCCATCAAGTAGG